GTTTCAATCAGATATTCCTAGAACGATTTCTTAAAAATCGGAAATACTGGTCCGTAAGGTCAAAACAATTTATAACTTTAAATTCAAACAAAAATTTATATTTCGGAGTTGTAGGGGTGCTAAAAAGAAATTTCATATGTTTCACGAAAACCTTTTGATGAGCTAGTTTACGTGAAAAATATTTGGGTTTTAGAAATATTTTGGTTATTGGTAAACTTTGATTGCCTTACCTATTGATTTTTTTATTGTAATCTACATATTGCAAAATCATATATTCACAGAGTTGATTTGAAAAAGGAAAACAGCGAAATAAAAATATTAAGAAACGAAAAATTTCAATTTTCAAATTTGTTTTTGGCGAAATCAGAGGATATTCACAAGAAGTAGCGGATAATTTTCCGATAATTTGGAGTGCAAAATTACCAAAAAATGTTTCGTCTAAATCCGTGAAAGATCAACCTTGTAAGTAAGTTGAGCACTCTCAGCATGAGACACAATAATGGCATAATTACGCAGAAACTTCATCTTTGAGCCCTGAAGATGATCTCAGTAAAGATTGAAACGTTGGCACGATAAAGAAAATGTTTTTCTAAAACCTACGTCACACCAGACGGTATCTCACGTTTCCGAGTAATCTTGTAAGTAAGCATTAACAATTAAATAAAGATTTATGAAGCGAAATATTATCAAGGACTTCATTGGAATTAATCGATCCAAAGCAATATCAATACACTAGATCCGTTTGAATGGAGTTGCACAATAAGTAATTATGTTATATAACAGTAATTTATAAGCATCAATATCACTAGTGAAGCATGAATTTATGTATTAGCAATTATAAAAGGGGTTAATTTTCCCGAGGTTACGTAGAATATCGAAAATAAGTGAATGATGTCAAGAGGTTTAGAAGGATCAACTAAGCAATTTGCGGATAATTTGGAGAGCAAAATTACCAAAAAATGTTTCGTCTAAACCCGTGAAAGATCAACCTTGTAAGTAAGTTGAGCACTCTCAGCATGAGACACAATAATGGCACAATTACGCAGCAAACTTCATCTTTGAGCCCTGAAGATGATCTCAGTAAAGATTGAAACGTTGGCACGATAAAGAAAATGTTTTTCTAAAACCTACGTCACACCAGACACCCTAAAGTATAGGGTTAACGGAAGTCCGTAGGATAACAGTGAAGATTTTTTCAAAAGAATGTAAGATCATATTGTTTGATAAAAAAAATTAATGCAATCATTTTTTTTTTGGTTTCGATTTTTTTGTAAATTTTTGTGAACAGCAGATCAGTTCTGTAAAAAAACTATTCCTTCCCACCTTTGTGTCTAACTAATAACAACCAACATTTATTGCTGGAGAAAATTTCCTTATTCTTCTGAAAGTGAATATGAGAGAGTTTTAAAAATATTATTTAAGGTTTTATGTGCTAATATTGTTTAGGAGATTTTGTTACTCATTATTAAATTATCAACAATTGTATTGTGCTCTGGAAGAAGTATCATCGAATGGAAAGGGTTGTTCTTAGAAATACACTATACACGACTCTATTTCCCCAGAGACTGTTATATCTTTCCAGTCATCCCTTTGGCAATTAAAAGTAGAAAGTTGCGATTGTTTTGACGCTACGGCCCGGTCACATCCCCCGGTTAATAATGTTGGCAACTCTCTTATCTGATGACCGCAGGCGGCACTTTTTACCGGCCCCATATCCCTTGTGTTTAATTAATACTGGAGGCGGTATTGCCGCAACAACGAAGTTATTCGGCGGAATGGACGGGGTAAAATTGGCGACGAAAAAAAATCAAAAGGGTTGTTACCGAACCGCTTAGGCTCGGACTACGAAAATATCTCACGTCAATAGTGAGAGCGAAAGACAAAAAGGGATTTGAGTCAGCATGACAAGTCACGTATAACATACGAGGGTCACAAATTCAATCCAACCGATTCAATTATATTTAACCTAGGTGAAAAAAAGTATCTGACCAAAACTACGGGTCATTTCTTGTTATATTTAGGTTTATTTTTATTTTCGAATTAATTTTTTAAATGTTTTGTAATACACGCGAATTATAATTTTCCTGTTTGTATTTGAATAAATTCTAATTCTAATGATACTAATGATAATATAATGATTAAACTTTCCTTATCCTAGCATTTTAGGCAAATATGGTGTAAAACCAAAAATAAAAACTTAACAGACTTGGGGAAGACAATCAGCTATGACCGATAGGCCAAAAGTAAGAATACATACTAAAAAATTGCAATAGAAAAGGGGAAAAATCTTTAGTACATTATGAAAAGAAGAAAATCTGGGCAACCAGAAAATAGGAAAATATGAAAAGAGCTCATGGAAAATGCTCAAATGAAACGTAGCATAAGCCATCATTAAAAATATATTAATAAAGAATAACTTAAACGTAAAACGTTGCCAGGAAGACTTAAAGCATATATCGCTCAATATGAAGAAATAGGGAAAACATAACACAAAAGCTGGAAACATGATTATTTCGTTCCATAACGATCTGTAAAATTAGTAAGAAAGAATTTACAACAGCTTCAATTCTAGCATAAATGAGAAAGCAAGGATTGATAGGCTACAACTACAAGTAGATTACGACAATATATTTTAAAAAAAGGGCAACATTTGGAAAGAGGTCGTTCAACTATTCTAAAACAACATTTTATTCGACAACGTTTAATAATAATATCTTTATTAACGGCAAGCCAATTTAAGCAAATTATACAATTTACATATTTATTACAGAGAAAAATGAATTATGAAATAGATCCAAATGAACGTTATTTGTTTTCTATCAATAATTTCGTAGTCCGCTTGACCAAGTAATACATTACAATTAATTAAGGTTTTTAGTTGAGATAAAAACGTCAATGGCACGAGCGGGATTCGAACCCACGATCTTCGGCTTGATACGCCGCTGCTTTACCACTTGAGCTATCGTGACCTTTATCCACTGGGACACCAACTTCCCATCTCAACCCCACCCTTTGAATTTTCTCTCCTTTTTGCCATTTTTCAAATGTTGTGTAATCGGATTGGACTCTCGACGACAAATGAAATGGCCACGGAGAGCTTAGTGAAGTATACTTCATTTTAAATCATTAAATTCACTAATTTCGTGGTCCGCTTGACCAATTAATGTATTACAATTAATTAAGGTTTTTATCTCAACTAAAAACCTTAATTAAATGTATTATTTGTTTCGTTAATAGGACCAAAAAACAACTTTGTTATCTTGTTCTTTTATCAGGCACATTCAATTTAATTCTTTCTAAAAGTTCCGGTCAGTAAAGTAGGTTATTTAACAATCTGAAACAAACTGTATCATCGCCAACTTTTTTTTCTACGCTTTTCTAGAGTACATGTGTTTATCAACATCCTAAGGATTTATAAGATACAGATTCCAAATTTAGGCCGAGGTTGAAAGCCCCCATACTTGCGGAATCTGTTTTGCACACTTCCTTTTGTCTGAACATATTTTATATAGTAAGGTTAACAAACTGCTTAGTTATATTCCAGAATAGGCCTTATTAAAGATAAGATAATTGTATAAGTAAAGCGCTCTTATACGATGAAATTTCCTAAATTCTATTGTATTTCTCTTTAAAGTACTCTAGATAAAATAAAAAAGGCAGAAGAAATGAAAATAATATTTAAAGAAAAAATTTAAATATTAAAAAACTAAAAAATATCATAATCAGTTAATATAAATAGGCAGAACATAAAAATATACCAGATTTCAAAAAATGATTATTATGATTATTTCGTCCCAATTCAATATGTCAAACAATAATAAATTATTGAGAACTTAACGGAGATGGGGTGAAAAAAGCAAGGACCAATGAGCCAAAGCAAGTAAAATTTTTTAAAAATATATCAGAAAAGAGACAATATTCATGATGAAAGAGGCGTCGGTGGCTGCAACGGTTTAGGCGTTGACACGGCTCTGATTACTGTAAAGTAAAGGTCCCGGGTTCGAATGCATGGCTGCTGGACATACTTACCAATGGGTTTTTTTTTCAAAAGCACCGGCACCCTGAGAGTTTATATGACTTCTGCTGTTGGAAACCCTCGTAAAAAAATATTTCTGGTGAAAAGGTGAAATTGATTGATATTGAGAAATATTGCAATAGGTAAAATTATGTTGAAAGTTCTCTCTATGAGGCTAACTCTGACATTTAATCGAAAGACAAAGCAAAAAAATTGTTCATAAATTTTAAAAAAATTAAAATATTTCGTAACTTTGATATGTGACAGTCTTGATTTCTATGTCCTGCTTCATTGTTGATCCGTATGCTATTTTGGTAGTCGTGTTCTTTTTTAGTTGTTTTCTATCTGGCACATTATCTTTAGCAATCTGATCTATTTTTATTCTATTATTTTCCTGGAGATATGATAGAGCAAGCTAAACCAATAAAAATTTTGAGCATGTTCCTTCGATGATTTTTACGAAAAATATCATTTACTTCTAAGACAAATGGTAAGAAAATGGTCTGTTTTCTTGCTGTGGTGAATAATGATTTTAACATATAGGCTTGAATAATCGGTGGAATTCTCTGATAACCTTGAAATCCGTAAAACAATAATGAATAAATTATTCCATTTCAATCGGTAAATAAATAATGAATACGGGAAAAACAACCTAAAATAAAAAATGTAACACAGAAAAGCAGAACAGACGCTGTGAAGCAAGAAATAATGATGCGAAACTAAAAGCATCGTATATTTAAAAATAAAACGTTGAAAAACGTGCTGGTACGTCGTTAGAACTCTAATTAATTATTTGAAGTACCCCAGACAATGTTACGAAAAATATTTTTATTAAAATTTATTTCGTGTAATAATTGAAGAACAGTTATATAAGCATTCTCTTATTTCTGCTAGTTAAATTGCTGAAGAGAATTTTTCCCTTGAAGTAGATATGCTGTTGTTCTGGACAACAAAGTCAATAAAAAATTTATGTTATGACATCACATTAAAGATATACAGCATACAATTTTTTATTTTTGAAAATATAATTAGTCTTAAAAATGTTTCATATGTAAGTTAATCTTCTCATTCGTAGCCATTGTAGAATGTGGGCCGTTTGCAATTCTTCTGATCAATTTTGTCCAAAATAATGTGGCTCAAATTTGACTTCCTTATTACACCAACGGCCTCGTTGATCACCTCCAACTCAGGCTTCATGCTTCGGGTTTCGATGTACACGTTGTTGAAATTGACTTTTGCTAGAAACAAAATTCTCTTATGCTTCAGTAAAAACATCAACTAATAAAACTGATATGTACATACCGACGTAAATATAGTCAGTGCATACGTATCTGACGCGGTATTGTTTTGTGCTTTTGAGCACGAAGTTGTAAATGCGAATCTCCCCGATACCTGCGGACAGATAAAAAAGAGTTGTTAATTAATAGTGAAAATTTGACGAATTCTATCAAGGATGTGTACGCGAAACAGCTAAGATTATATTTTCACACTGGGCCGCGTGATCTTTTGCGAGCCAGCCTTGTGGAAAATTCCGATCTCGCAATCAGACTTTTCCCTCTTTCAGCTTTGTTCAACCCTTACCGACCTTATCCCAGAGTAGTATTGTAAAAAGGCAGGCGGTGTCAAAACTTTTCCACTGATTTACCCCGCTGACATCCTTGGCTTCTTACCTGTTCATTACAAGGACAATTGAAGCAGATTTTAAAATGAACTGGACACGTTTGGGCTCAGAAGTCTTCCTAATAAAAAAAAATTATGTACAATCTGTAAGAAACGGCATTTAAAACAAAATTGATTCAATTAAGCAAATGGTTTCGTAATTTCGTTAATTTTTAGAGACAATTAAAAAAGCTAATCCAACTTCCATTTTAGTTTAACATTTTCCTTTTGGAATCATGAGAATTACAATTAAGCAGAATGTTTTTCACTGAAATCACACGAACCTTTTTTGATCTCATGGCGGCCTCTAGTTCTAATCTGTTGAAAAAGTTTATAAAACCTCGAGTTCTTTTTCTGTCTATTTATCACGAGGGGCTTTGATATGATCTCGAAGCCCATAAGCCGAAGTTTATCTCTTGGTTTAAAGGTTAGTTATCACGCTTCACCAATTCGAAAAAAGTAATTTTTTCTTCTACCATCCACGGAAGCCTTTATTATAGAGTTTAATGAGCCAAACTCACAATCAGTCAAAAACTTTTGTTCAAGGGCTGTTTGAACCCTATGTAATATATACTAATATTTTTTATAGAATGGCTTACATTTAAAACCTTTTTGGAAACAAATGATTTTATGATTTGATCTCTTAAAAACCCCTGTAGACGAACGATGTCTGCTATCCTTTTCACGTTACCGGTAAGGCATTTTGTAGATCGTTGAAGTTATTTTGGTGACATTACAACCAATTATTTGGTAAAATTCTGGTGGAGATTCTATCTATGAGGCACACTAAAAAAATATAAAAAAATAAAAAACCGACCATCTAGGTTTTGCATGAAAAAATGGCCACTTTGAAAATTCATATTTTCTCAGCCTTTTGAGTCAGATCTGCTGTGGTCGGGTGAAGGAGTCATCGGTTTTTTTCCATAAGCTCTTAAAAAGCCTCGTTTCTTATCCCAAAAATCACGATTAACCCGAAACGGTAGAGAAATCGGGCAAACTGGAAGGTGAGTTGAAAACCTTTTTAAATTGAAACCTTATTAAAATTTCCTATCGATTGCTATAGAGCGCTGATCTAGGACGATTTGCTGGCTCCACAGCTCAATTTGAAGTTTTCGTAAAAAGTGAAAAAATTAACAGTTCTCGAATTTTTGAATTTCCTGATGAATGCGTCTAGGAAAACATTTAAAAAGCCATCTTGTTCAGCGTAAATAAAAAAAAAGAGAGCAAAAGTTTGTGACTTAAAAGGCATAGTAAATACACATTTCCGAAATTGGTCATTTTTTCGTCGAAAATCAAGGTTGCCGGTTTTTAATTTTTATTTTATTTTATTTTTTAAAACTTATATTTAAACTAAAAAATGTATGCTATTTTTCTTTAAATTGTCTGAATCTGTTTTTACTCGGACACACTATCGTCAGTAATCCAGCTTACTTTTATCCCAGAACGTTGTTTTCTAGCAGAAAAGACAAAGAATATAATAAACATTATAAACATAATACTGTTCTTCGTAATATCTTAAAAATGTGATTATTTTTAAGACCAAGGGTAAGAACATAGAACATAGTGCTGGAGAGAGGTCTTGAAGTTCATCGGTGTACTTTGCACACAGGTAGGCTTGATTCATCGGTCAAATCCTTTGAAGTTTGGCAGTTGGTCAATGTGTTATTTTGTCAATCGTGACACATTTTTGAGAGTTTGCAAACTGTAAGCAGGGGTTGAATGTTTGTTTTGATACTATTAGGATCTTTTTATGCTCTTCACTTTGGAGATTACAATTAATTAAGGTTTTTTGGTTGAGATAAAAAAGTCAATGGCACGAGCGGGATTCGAACCCACGATCTTCGGCTAGATACGCCGCTGCTCTACCACCTGAGCTATCGTGACCTCGATCCACTCGGACAATACTTCCCATCTCAACCCCACCTTTTGAATTGAATTGATTTGGAGATTATCTCTACTTAGCACAATAACCTCAGTAATATGATATACTTTTATCAGGTTCGCCGTTTTCTTGTAGAAATGATTGAAGACAAAGAGTACAATATTTGTAAATATAACTGTTCTTTCAACTGACGTGCTATTCTGGGGTCTGGAAGTTGATAAATAGTTATGCTTGTAAAATATCTATTACTCTGTTTTATAATCAGACACCATTTGTTTGTTTTTTTGTGGTTGATCAGTGCATTATTTTGTCATTTGTGCTACGTGTTTAAGTTTTACAAATTGTAAACAGAGGTTGAGATTTGTTTTTGCAACGTTTGATATATGATATTTTGCTGCCTTGACTTATTATAATAATAATAAATTTACGTAAAGAAACAAAAATAAATAAAATAAGTGAAACTATGTAGGGTTTAAGAAGGCTATTAAAATCGATTCCAATATTTGAAGATGAGTCTTCATGACAGATTATCTCCTACTACTCTTAATTTACTACCAGATATTGTTCGGAAATTTTTTTTTGTTTTGGTGTCTGATCATGTGCATTATTTTGTAAATCACGCCCCATTTATAAATCTTTAAAATGTAAGCGAAGGTTTAGTTTGTTTTTTCAGGTTCTTCTGTGCCCTTAATTTATTGTGATGATAATAAAATGAAGTAATGAAATGAAAAATTATTAAAAGAAATAAAGCTATGTAAAACGTTAAAACGATATCCAAATCGATCCCAATTATTTGAGCATGAGCCTAAACGGATGATCTCTCCTTAACTTATTTTTACTCTAAGGGAATTTCGCTTTTTTGGTCGTTAGTCTCCGCATATTTATTTCATAGTTTTAAGGCAAATCATGTGTAGTAATAGGTGCGTAAAAATGTACCCATATTTTAAACTAAGTTCAAAGATTTTCTCAAACATCTATGAGTCATGAAATAATGTAACAGTCAAGGTACATTTGCATTCATTTTTCAAATATAATATTCATTAGTATAATGACTGTAATTACGAGTTATTTTGAAGAATTCTTTACCGACTGCTTTCAATCCTCTGGCCGTGTTGTTTACTAAGAGGGAAACTGAACTTCTATTAAATGAGAGAAGTCATTTTGGCTCGGTTAGTACACTCAATTGATCAACATTACTTTAATATTCATTAGAATAGTACTCATAATTTAGAAAAATTGTTCATTCTAAAGAGTTTCCTATTACATCAAGAAATTTTATATTCTCTAGAAAAAAGTATATCTTGATTTTAGGTGAATTTCGTACAAGATGTTGAGTACTAGAATGGAATCTTAATAAATTATTAAAAAGCATTTTGACGTAACTGGAATACTCATTTGATCGAGTCTAGTAACTATTACTTGGAAAAATACAGTTTAAAGAAAATAAAAGGGGTATTCACGAACTTTTCGTTAACCCTGTTAACTCTGTTAGGTCCTGTTAGATCGACAAAAACGATGACGTAGACTTGCAAGAATCGGCTAGTTAACATTGCTCGATCTAACAAGCCAGGGCCAATGTTAGATGTTAGGACGAAAATGTAGTCACACTGCTATCCGTTAGGGCGTAGATAATCAACATGGCAGCCATGAATTTAACAGCTGGTTTTTGTTTACACGTATTTTTATTCTTAATTACGCATTAATTAAATCAGACTAATACATTTATTTTGGTAATTTCTGACCTGACTTATACTCTCATACATAATAGATACATCCCCTATCCCATAAAGTTGTAGGCTGTTAGACGTTTGGATACATGTTAGGCACTTCGGCACGAATTGAAACGTGTCATTTGTTAGTACTTTTCGAGTGCATAGATAGCATTTTGAATGAAAGAGTGGATTCATTTTCCTTTTTTATTAACTTCTGGCATCTTACAATTTAAAAGGAAACCACCTACAAGCCTTCAAGGACTGCTACAGCTTTATTTTTGGTTCTACCAATCGCCACGCGCAGCAATGGGGAAAAATTAACGTTTAACATGCTAAGAAAAGAAGGGGGCGTTCAAGATCTTACATTTTACATTTCTCTATTCGTTAACATTTTACAAACATCGTGAATACCCCTAATAATTCTGAAGTTTTCCAAAAATCGTACGATATTCTCTGTGAAAATAAGGTATTTTTGGGTTTAACTGTGGTTCCTTTTATTTCTACAAATGTTTTGACACAATTTGCATTTGTCACGCAAAACTTCATTTCTTTTTGTGGCTATTGCTTCATATATATTTTTTTAATGAATGAATTAATTTATTTGCAATTGCTCTTTAAATATGCAACAAGAAAAAATGTTGAAACAATTGAGTCTATTGTGTGAACGTGCACAAAAGGATTCACAAAAGGGCGTGTAAGGCACAAATGGCGAAAAATGATGAGAGCTGTTAGTTCACCAACAGTGTGAACACCCCGGCCAACGTCGTTTCAGTCTCAGACGAGGATTGGCGTGTAATGCTGTGAAAGACAATTCGCTGATTTAAAGGGTTTGTGGGGTGGGAACGAACGAAAATGTTTGTAAAATTTAGCAAGGTTGGATACGGTCGGGATTTTTACGTCAGTATGAATTTTAGCATGGTTAGCGACATAGAAGGTAGCATTAACTATTGCTCGATGAATTTTCGATTGTACGGGTTGGAGTCTGTTTAGTTAGGAACGCTTAGCGGTTGCGTACAGTTCAAGTCCATATAAACATCAGCGGGCTAGCAGGGCAGTGTATAGTCTTTTTTTAATGTAAGTTTAGATCGCTTGGCAAGTTCAAACAATCTGAATGTTATATTTAAATGTTTGAGTCACGT